AGCACATGCAGCGTTTGAGCACATGTTGCAGTCCATCTCTAAACTATGTTCAGATTATTAAAGCTGCTTGCCAGCGCCCAAGTTCCTGACAGATTAGCAAGTGAAAAATACACATGTGTGCACAGAGAAGAGGAATCCAGATGTTGATTTTAGAACAAGAGTCTGAACATTAATCCAAGTGTCTGATTCCAGAATCTGAATCCATCTTCAATCCCCAACCCTATTCCTGACCTGATATTGTAGGATTCTTCAGCAGAAATGGAGGAAGAAGTTTCTCTGCTCAGCTCAAATGCTGAAACTGTACAGTGTGTCCCGCTTAATGTCACTGTAACTGAGCCAATACACTCCAACATTTACAGAGGAGATTCATTTCACACTCAATGATTTGCTCTTCATAGACATGACTGTAATACTCTACAAGCTGTATCTTCTGTCTGTCCTCACCCCATAACCCTCACAGAAAACTGAAGCTGATCACAAAAGAGCTTTCTAGTGTCTTTTTAAAGCCATTCAGTGTAAAAGCACAAGGCCAGTGCTGCTCCACATACTTGAGTTTGTCCAGTGTGTAGTTTGGATCCTCCAGTTGTTCAGAGAGCAGCTTGACTCCTGAATCTCCTGGATGATTGTAGCTCAGATCCAGCTCTCTCAGGTGTGAGGGGTTTGAAGTCAGAGCTGAAGACAGAAAACCACAGCCTTCCTCTGTCACCATACAGCCAGACAATCTACAAACACAGCAAGAGTCCACATCACACAGTTGGACAATCACACATCTCTTTGTGTTGTGAAGATGCTGACTGCTGTTTCTGCTCATGTCAACAGCAGTGATAAACACACACATCCTGATCAGCTCTCCTTATTGATCGAGCCCTCGCATCAGCAAACACACTCACACACTCAACAAGGACTCGACATCATCTGTAGAAGTGTACAGAGCAAAGACATTGTTCATAATACACCACATCAAGCTGTAAAGTCTGCTGTGAGGAGGAAGAAGACACACTTGAGCTCAGAAGATCATCTTAAAGTCATGTATAAAGCACAACAGGAAATGAGCTGATTTCATCATTTATATTGTGATTCTGTTGTGGACTAAAACAAAATGAGCTCAGACAAACACAAACCCGCTCTCTTCATGTGTTCATCACCTGACCCACAGTCACATTCACCTGTCAGTCAGACACGAGCCCTGATCAATAAGAAACTTAGCTGAAGGAAAATGAATGAATGATCTTCAATCTGCTTCAACACACACACATTTGTATAGATATGACTAAATCACAGCCCTGCAGATGTTTAGTTTCTTCTTCTGCCAATCCACTAAAGGGGCTCCACATCTGGTAACACCTGTTTACACTGCTGTTAAAGCAGGTAAAGACACATTTACACTTGTAATCTAAAAGCAGTGTTAGCGCTGCACTTTACCCAGGGTTATGAAGCGCTGCTATGGAGTGGTGTTAGCATGGTATTTGTAATGTTAACACTGCATTGTGGTTAGGGATGCAATGATTAACAGGTTTCACTATTAAACATGCTTTAATTCATCACGGTTTATTAATTGTATAGGCTCCTTGACACTGTTTTTCTGCACGGATCAAAACTGCTGCAAATACAAAATTTATGAAAAACTGAAAAATAAAAAACAAATTTATGCCCACTGTGCCGTGTTTTACACCTATAACCACACACACTGGATTAACTATGGCTGTGGGTATATAAGGCAAGTTCAGGCAAGTTTGTTATTTCCAATGGAGAGAGCTTTATTGACTGCAGAAAATGCAAACGGCTAAAGTTTGAGGAAGACGCAATGAAAAGTCCACAGGTTTGCAAACCCACCTTCAGTTACAAACAACTGCGTCGATGAGAGCGATGATGAGGTGAATGTTGATCCGCCAGCTGAGAGAGTGTAAATCTAACACTCGACACGTCCTCGCCAAAGACGAAAAATGTCATTAACATGTCGGTGTTTTAATTTCTGTAATAAATATGGCTGTCAAGCCAGGATCTTGATGGTTTATTGTGGATGTGTTGTTTACATGAAGAAATCTGTGTTACAAGTTAAACAAAAATTCTATTAAACAATTATATTTTGAATTTTAATTCTAATAAACAATTATATATTGAATTTTAATAGTTTTTGTATTGCGTTTATATTAATTTTACATTTGAATAGCCAAAATTACAAGTTTCAGTATTTTACATGTGATTAATCGCGATTAATTTTTTTTAAAAAGGTGGGATTAATTTGTTAATTTTTTTAATCAATTGACAGCACTAATATATATATATACAGGGAATATATTTGTGTTTCAATTGACAATATGAACAGCTGTTTACTGTGGCTTTAGCCTATATAGGTTCTGTTTAGAACATGGTGTTATCTGTTCTGACATACTGTGTGAAAGCATTGGTAAATTGGACTGTAAAATTACATTGTTTTGGTTTTGGTTGAGTTTGTGTAAAAGAAGTTCAAGCATTTTAAATTTGTGTTAACTGGATGCATTTTGTGTTAAAGCAACAAGGAATGTATTAATTGTATAGCCCATGAAGACGGATGTTGTGCTAACCGTGTTAAGAGTTTAGGAAACTTGTTAAATATATTGAAAAAAAGTGTCATAGCAATTGTAAAAAACTGTAATGTGTTCATCACCTGACCCACAGTCACATTCCCCTGTCAGTCAGACATGAGCCCTGATAAATAAGAGACCGAGCTGAAGGAAAATGAATGAATGATCCTCAATCTCAAACACATTTTTATAGACATGTATAAATCACAGCCCTGCAGATGTTTAGTTTCTTCTTCTGCCAATCCACTAAAGGGGCTCCACATCTGGTAACACCTGTTTACACTGCTGTTAAACCAGGTAAAGACACGTTT